GGGGTTAGTCATCTAGAACTTAAAACTGGAACTGAGATGATTTGTGGGATAAATTTTTAAGGTGTTAGTCACATAGAACTAGAAAATAAGATATTTTTTTATAGTGTTAGTCAAGTAGAACTTTTGTAGAACTAGAACTGTATTATTTTTTTGGTGCGTTAGTCAAGTAGAATTCTACTAGAATTAGAATTGGGATAATTGATCATAATTATCCCACAAATTATACTACCTATATATATAACCATAAGTTTTCCTCTCTCAAATTATCCCATACATTGGAAAGAATACAATTGGGAAAAAAAAAGTGAAACCCCGCCTCCCTCCCTCTTGGTTAGTTTCTCCGCCTAGAAAATTTCTCTGCCATGAAGTCAATCATCCGTTCATTTTTCTGTCTTTACTTTATTTTTGTGATGATTAGATCTTTTATTATTATCTTCAAGATGTATTACTTTATTGATAGCTTTTTGACGTTAAATTACTTTATTATTATTTGTTTGATCTAACTTTTCTCTCCACAACAGTGGTTTAGGTTAAGAATATAGTGTTGGTGGGTTAGTGCTAAAGATATGCGGGCTATTTATGTTTTTTTATAAGTTAGAAAGTAACTTTGCGATCACATTGATGATTAGATGTTGAATGGTTAATGTTGATATCTATTATTATTAAATCGGCTCAGTAAATTGATTGGGATATTTATAGTTCATCTGTCGATCATCTGTTTAGCGGCCATGGATGATTCCTGTGTACATTTTATTTATTTGCTGATTTGGTTTCAGCGATCATGATGAGATTGGTCCAAAGGGTTAATGGCTGAAAAATGCTTATTTTTCTTTCTTTATAATGTTATGAGATTTGAACTTCGACATTTATGATCCTCCACTAGAAGCTCCACGAAATGTTGCTGATGAAGACGATGACTCCGATAAAGAAGATGAGTTACAGACTCAACGAGCAGCTGTAGGAGCTTAGAGAAATTCTATGGTAGATGCCTGTGGGATGATAGAAGCCATGTGGGATGATGGAAGTCGAGTCACTCTAGGGATTTAGATTTTTATTTATAGCCATGTGGGATGATGGAAGTCGAGTCACTCTAGGGATTTAGATTTTTATTTATTTGTAAATTTTTTTTTGAGATGAATAGTGATGCTTTATTGCATTATATTTTATAGTTATTACTAGAATTTGCTTATAATATTATATTATTTTTAATATATAATTATTAACAATAGTAATTTATACCCACCATTACTCCCACCAAATTATCCTACCAAATTATGTAACTTCATAATATTATCCATCATTATCCCACCAAATTATCCTACCAAACTATCCCACTTTAAGAATTACCCATCATTGTTCCACTAAATTATCCCAGTGTTAAAATATTATCCCACTTTATCAATTATCCCAGTTCTACTTAAAAAGTTCTAGGTGACTAACTCCCCCTAATAGTATAGGGTTAGTGAAAAAATGGAATAAAAAAAGAGAGGGAGAATAGTACGGGTGTGTCAGCTTTTTGCCCTAAATCCTCCCAAATCATTCGGATTTGGATTTCTATTAAATCATCATACTTCAACTTTATAAATTTTGAAATCTATAAATTTATTGTGAACCAAATTCAGGAATAGGATTCATTAAGAATCCTTTATTTACGATTTTACCTCTGTCAGATTCAATTCCTATTCCTATTCCATAAAAGGGTGAAACAAACACCCCCTAAAGGAATACGCTAAGAATATCAACTATGATGAGAAAGGTCGCGCAGAAAAATTTAGCTTTTTAAGTCGTATCACAAATTAAAGTGAGTAAATTTTATTTGTAATAAGCTAGACATGTATACAATACATAAATCAGCTTGAGGGGAGAGTGTTAATGAATATCTTATGGAGATCTATGGTGTTACAACTATATTAAGAATATGTGAGTGAGAAAAATTAGGGATGTGACTGAGAGAATAAAGGAATACGCTAAAAGGCTTTAATCTTTTACAATCGCCTTTAATCTTTTATGCTAAGCGACTGAGGATTTAATCCTCATCCTTTCCCAGAAGGAAGGTGCTACAGGCACACCCTTAGGTACACTACCAACCACACTCCCCCTCTTGCTATAGTGCAGCGGCCCCACACCACTAACCACATTCCCCCTCTTGCTATAGTGCAGCGGCCCCACATGTGATTTTCTTAAAAAAATCACATGTGGGGTCGATGCACTGTAGCAAAAGGAAGGGGTGTGGTTGGTAGCGTGCCTCTATCATTTTCCTTCCTAGAAAAAGAAAAAAAAAAGAAAAGAAACGGTTAAAACTGAGCAGGGGATTGCCAGGCATACCCACGGTAATTTAGCCTGTGAACAGGGCTTGTATAATTGGACTTGGGCCGAGATTGGCACATTTCAATGAGGCCGTGAGGATAAGGATCACCACCATAATCAGAGCACCCATGAAGCCACCCTCGTGGACCCGCAACTCTCATCGTGTGCAGGAGTCACTTTCTAGGTCCTTTACGCTCGCTCTCGACTTGATACAAAAGGCGCGGTAAAATCCGCGGCGTCTCCCCAGCTTATCTCCAGAGGAATCCGTGCAGTACTCGTCCCCTTTTCCTGTTACTGGGGACCACCGAAGCTTAACCTGCCCACTTGCTTCTCTGCATTCTCCTTTTGCTACGAAGGGAGGGCCCCACTTCCGCTCCGTCGTTTCATTCTTAGCTGTCAGCGAATATTTGGTTATAAGAAATGTTAGAGGCACACCTCCGTTAACACTCCCCCACCTTCTAAAAAAATCTCCTGTGGGGCCTACTATACTGTAGCAGGTGGGGGGAGTGTGACCGGATGTGTGCCTCATGGTGTGCCTCTAACACCCCTCTGGTTATATATCACGCACCGAAAATGATGTGCGTATCCGTGACTAGATTAGTAACACCGTTCGATCGAAATATTCATATAGGGGTTGTTTGTTTGGCAAAAATAATGATGAGAAATAGGTTCCGGTGGCTCATAAGATGACAATGGGAGATCTAAGTCCAAATAGATTTTCAATTCCTTAGTTTGGTTCAACACAAAATTTAAGGAATTTTTTTAGAGATATCACATGCCTACTCAGAAAATAAGAAATGATCATTTCTGAGTTGTGCGTTTGGAATTAGGATGAAAAAGCGTTAAATAATTATTATTTTTGCTATTCTAGTGATGGGTTAGTGATGTTTCCTGTTCTTAGTTTTCTTTTTTTTAGTTGTGAAACAAACAAATGATACGTGAGGAAATATATTTTCAATCCTATTTTACCATGAACCAAACAAATTTTAAAAAATCTTTAAAAACATATAAAAAATAATATCTATGCTTCAAAATGAGTTTCCTATATTCAGCAAAACAACCAAACAGCCCCATTCCTGAGCCGTATATTTCCGCAAAAGGTGTGCTGTTTTATTTCTGACGGAAAATTACGATGGCGATTCAATGGATCAGAAGACTGAAAAAGTCAGTGCACCGCTTTTGGAGGGATGCTTCACCTTGAATTAAATAATGAACCTTTTTATAAAAGGACACTGTTAAATGTTATTTTAGCAGCTATGCCACTATAGACTTTGTAATTTGCAATGTATATCTTCTGAAACCCATATCATATTTTCAGAATGATACTGTGAATATTTTAAAAGCGTACCTAAAATATTCTGCAAGCGAGCGTCTCTACTAAAGTTGTAATTCTGTATTGATGATTTTACTTATCACTTGGAAAAAAAGTGATAACTTCTTGTATACAAATCTTATTCACTCCTAAACGAACTTATTTGATATTTGTTAATTATTTCTGATACTTAAAAACTGCATTGGCAAATGGCAACGTAGTGAATGTCAAAATTCAAACTCCGTTTGTATACTAATAGGGTAATAAACGAATAATTTTATTATTTTGCATTGTTGATCTAATATTGAAAAGGTCGACAAATTATAATCATTTAGTAATCTAAAGATTTATAATTTATTTCATATATAACTAGATCATATACGCATCAAGAATTTTTTTTCATTTCTATTCAAAGTAAATTATAAACAAGTTGAAAAAAATGATTATAATCGTACCTATAATTTGTTCACTTACAAAAAGAATTGAATCTGAATCCAATAAAAAGAACATCATGGAAAAGAAATTATATCTAAATTGAGACAATACATATACATTGGATGGTGCCTTAGTGCCATAAGAGAGAGAAAGGAGTTTGCGAATTATATCTACCTATCGCATCTCAATACGTAAAACAAAAAAAAATCGAACAGAATTGTAAAACAAAATTTGACCTTGCAAATAATACGTAAAACAAAAAAAAAATCAAATAGTATGTAAAACAAAATTTAACCTTGCAGTTACAAATTGTAAGTTGATAAAAATTTAGTACTCAACAAAAAAAAAAGCAGAGCTTGACGGCCTGGATCCTGCAAATCAGCTGTGTGCTCCATAAACAGGCTACAATATTTTCTGCCCAAACAATCAAAAGCAACGTCGCGGTCATGGTTCAGTGAAACGTTAATTGGACACGTGTAATCTAGAATTTCGTTAATTGGACACTTGTGTGTGCTATCGTAACACCAATATCCTCCACCTCTCCCCTGAGTCCCTCCGCTCCACGAGCACTACCCTGAAATTTAGTTTTTAAAAAGGTAAATTTCAGAAAACCCACTTAAATTTGAACCACTGCAAAGTAACCGCGATAACTCTCAAAATATTAGAAAACGCCCTTCAACTTCAATGTTCTTCAAAAAAAATTCCCTTAAAAGTTTGAACCATAAATTTTCACTAGAAAAATGCCCTCCCGCATAATTTTATCTACCCATGTGTGAATTGAATTTAAGACGTTAGCGGGGTCTTTTGAAGAAGTCTTAAAGTTGTAGTGTGTACCATCTAAACTTAAAGGGGGGCTATCTGATATTTTGAAAGATATTAGGGTTATCTGGTGATCCCTCTAAAGTTAAATGAGTTTTCTGAAATTTATATAGCATTTAAAAAACTCAAGTCATTTTCTCCCCCATAAAGAAAGAAACGTCTCCTCCAAAACTCTACTCCTCTCTCAAAAGAGATCTCGGATCTTCGTCGTCTTCGATCAATGGCGGGAACTCGCGAGGAGAACGTGTACATGGCGAAACTCGCCGAGCAAGCAGAGCGCTACGAGGAGATGGTCGAATTCATGGAGAAAGTAACCGCCTCCGTCCCCGCCGGCGAGGAGCTCACCGTCGAGGAGCGCAACCTGCTCTCCGTCGCCTACAAGAACGTCATCGGAGCTCGCCGAGCCTCGTGGAGGATCGTGTCCTCGATCGAGCAGAAGGAGGAGAGCCGAGGCAACGAGGACCACGTGGCGGCCATCAAGGACTACAGATCTAAGATCGAGTCGGAGCTCAACTCGATCTGCGATGGGATCTTGAAGCTTCTCGATTCGCATCTGGTGCCTTCGGCGTCTGCGAGCGATTCGAAGGTGTTTTACTTGAAGATGAAGGGCGATTATCACCGGTACTTGGCGGAGTTTAAGATCGGATCGGATCGAAAGGATGCGGCTGAGAGCACGCTTTCAGCTTACAGCAGAAGGAGGAGAGCCGAGGCAACGAGGACCACGTGGCGGCCATCAAGGACTACAGATCTAAGATCGAGTCGGAGCTCAACTCGATCTGCGATGGGATCTTGAAGCTTCTCGATTCGCATCTGGTGCCTTCGGCGTCTGCGAGCGATTCGAAGGTGTTTTACTTGAAGATGAAGGGCGATTATCACCGGTACTTGGCGGAGTTTAAGATCGGATCGGATCGAAAGGATGCGGCTGAGAGCACGCTTTCAGCTTACAAGGCTGCTCAGGTTCAGATCTGACCTCTATGGAGTTTGATTTGATTTTTTTAAAGATTTTTTTTTTAATTTCAGCGAGAGATTTTAAAAACATTAGCATTTAACGTGAGATCCTAATGATTGATGTTGTTTTCCTTTGGATCTGACAGAATTTTGTTCGAATTAACTCTATAATTGTAACTTAGCTGACTTTTTCACGAATTTTCTCGACTTTATTGCCTGTTTTACATTCCTAAGTTTCGTCAACTTTTTGGGAAAGTTTGGATTTTTTTTTTCAAAATTCGTAAATAATTTAGTGATGAGTTGGTCTTTTGAGGATATAAAATGATGGTCGTCGTTCAGGACATTGCGGTTGCGGAGTTGGCCCCAACACACCCGATCCGTTTGGGATTGGCACTCAACTTCTCGGTGTTCTACTACGAGATCCTCAACTCACCTGACAGGGCTTGCGCTTTGGCCAAACAGGTTGGTGAAAATTTCCTTGATTAATTTTGCATGATTATCTCCATGACCTTTTATAAAAATCAACCTGCACTTAGCATATTCGGTAAATTAAATATTACGCTTTGTTTTTATTAAGAGAGTGTCGAGTGGTTTCGGTCCGTAGTATTGATGTTGTACCGAAAGTTTTTTTTCCGTTGGATCGGTACTAACCCCCAAATATCCGAATTTGGATGCTCTCCACTAAAAAAAAATAGAGATACTGCTATTTTTAATCTCAATCGTTGATTATTTAATAGGCGGTTATGATACAATTTAAATCTAACACTTACTATACCCGTATATTGCACTCATTTCTAATTTGCATTAAAAGAAAAACTCACAACCATCAACTAGATAATCAATGGTTATGATTATGTAGTGGTCCATCCACTACTTTTTAGATAGTGGAGTGGATTCGAATCCCAAATATCCTAATCTACAAGTAGCGATTGCTTCAATGCATAATTTTTGCTATGAACTAAAAGCAATCGATGTTCTCTCTTATTTGAAAGACGAGTTTGGTTTTCTTTTGGTGGAAAGTTAATTTATTTCCAACACCATCCATTTGTAGTTAGTGCATTTGTAGCGCCCAATGTACTGTCTTGGTTAGCTTTCTTTTTCAACTATATGAAATGCTTATTTAAATATATTAGTATATTGCTCGCCATTAACTTCCTTTAATGTCTAAAATAAGAGATGCTAGTCAAAAGGATATCGTGAAATTTATAAAAATTACCAATAAAACTATCATTTTCAACATGATTCCCAAGATGTAGTTTGAACTATTCTCAAAAGTGCATCTTCAAGAAACGAATAATCAAATACTAGATTCTGAGTTCAAACTCAGAAAGGCCCCTATGGTTTGCGCCATAAATCTATTAAGCCCCCAGACTATTATTTGGATCTATTAAGCCCCTATACTTTTTATTTTGAATCTATTTAGCCCCTATGGTGTTTCTTCATAACTAAAAAGTAGATTCAATAAGACAAAAATACCATTTCTTTAGTTATGGAGAAATACCATAGGGGCTAAATAGATTCAAAATAAAAAGCATAGGGGCTTAATAGATCCAAATAATAGTCTGGGGAATAGATTCAAAATAAAAAGCATAGGGGCTTAATAGATCCAAATAATAGTCTGGGGGCTTAATAGATTTACAGCGCAAACCACAAAATAATAGTCTGGGGGCTTAATAGATTTACAGCGCAAACCACAAGGGCCTTTCTGAGTTTGAACCCCTAGATTCTAGATAAATGGAGCTCCCAGTTCAAGTGATGACGCACACCATTAGTCAAATGTTATAGAATTCAATAATTTTTATTTCGGGCATCCTGTGATCTTTTGCACAATATATATATGTGCATCTGGACTTCGACCGATTTTCTTGCTATCCTCTGTCAACTCGTTTAGCTTTCGAAACTTAATGGTCTCGGGTGGAGTAAGTTTCCTACATCAACCAATGAGGTAAATGTAACAACTTGATGGTACATTTTTTATTAACTTCGAAATTGTTCTGTTTTGTTTTATTTATGACAGGCAGAAGTATGTTTCCAGTGATCCGTTTACAATTCTAACGATGATATATTTTTTAATTAACAAGAAAAAACATACTTTTTCTTAAACATTTTTTCTACTCCCCTGACATGCTAAAAATATACATCTTATGCCGAACAATATTATCAGGCATTTGATGAAGCAATTGCGGAGCTGGACACTCTTGGAGAAGAATCCTACAAGGATAGCACCCTCATAATGCAGCTCCTTAGAGACAACCTCACCCTTTGGACTTCAGATATGCAGGTATAAATACGATACATGTATCATTCTTCCGAAATTTTCAAATTTATTTCCCCACATCCCCATGTTAAACTTTGCCAAGTACTTATTGGAAACAATTGCTGTGGCTTACTGTCTGCAGGATGATGGAGCTGACGAGATCAAGGAAGCACCCAAGGGCGAGGATGATCAGAAGTAGTAGCTGACCGGGGGCTTTGTTTCCTAATTAATTAAGACCTTCAACTGTGGAGAGATGAATTCGGATATTTGCTGGCCTACCTCTATGATTTGCTGAGGGTTTCCATTTTCCCCTCTCAATTGATCTGGCATTCGAAGCTCCATGTTTCGTTGTGGTTTTAGTAACATTTGGATCCTGTGCCCTTTTGTTATATCCTTGTCGTTCAAAGTTAACTGTCTTTTTTTTTTAATCTTTTTTTCCATCTGTAGAACTGCAGTTGTGTGTGCATTCGACAATTATTGATCTGATAACATAATTGTCTCTCAAAAGCTTTGAGTTATTATTTCTTGTTACGCGTCGTCCATTTGAAAACAACTACGTCGTTTAGGTGCCTTGGATAATTGCTTGGCAAGTGCTATTGTTATTGATTTAATACAACTTAAAAGAATTAAAGGGTTTAATTAAAAACACAAATATTTGGAACTTCTAATACTGAAATATGAAATATTTTTGGCCCAATATGATAAAATACCGGTAAATAGCACTTAAATACGTTAATAGTTTCACCCCTCTCAGGACTTGTATATCCCCAGTTGTATTTTGTAAAATTTATATACCTTAAAGTTGTTCAAAATTGGCATGTTAATACTATTTATTTTGCAAAAGTGAAAATCTTTATTTGAATGCTGTCATATACAATTCAATTCATATGCTAATTTTATGACTTCTTCTCTATAACTTTATTGACTTCCTTTTTAAAAACTTTCAAATTCTTTTGTTAAAATAGAGTTAGGATACATTTAGTTTTTTTAGCCTTATTTTATTCACATAAACTACCTTTAAACATGATTTATGTTGCAATTAACCACTTTCTTGTTTTCCTCTTCAAGTTTTACACAGTTTGATAATTTTGCCCTCAACTAAAACACGTGCTTTGAACGTGAGTTTGCATTTAACTTACCAACGAGGGTTAACTCATTAAAATAAATTAAAACCTATCTGTTTCTATTTCAATCAAACCCTAGAGTTTGAAACATGAGATAAAAAGCAGTCGGAAAATTTTGATTTTCGTGTTGAAATTTTAGGGTTTTCTTTTCTCTTTCTTTATTCCTTTCTTTTTTCAATCACTCAAAATGTCCAAGTTCTCAATTTCTTCCTCATCTTGTACCCATGTCATACCCATTGAGTTGAAGTGCAAATGTAATTTGATGACTTCTATCATAACTTCAAGGACAGAATCTAATCCAAGTGGAAGGTTTTTCAGTTGTTGTCATTTCTTTAGTCCTTTGAATTGCATTAAAAGATGTGATTATCTCAATTGGTATGATGGGGAGACTGATGGTAGTGCAAAGAAAATATTTAACATGCTTATTGATGAGAGGAAATAATTGAAGGCTGAGCTTGATGAGATAAGGAACAAGATTGAGGCTCCTACATAAGTGACACTGGGAGGAGATGGGATGACAACGGGCATATAGAGGATACAGTGGATAGTGAGACTCAGGACCAGGGTCATGTTTAGGAGTCCATTGTAGCAAACAGACCCAAAAGAGTGATTCGTCGGCCAGCTAGATATAATAATGTCATGGTTGTATATGCCTTATCAATTGAGGTCGTTGATGATTTGGTTCCTATTGGTCTTTTTGTTTTAATGATGTTTAACAAACAATTTACAACTAATGTTGTTTGTCTAGTGTTTGTGTTTATCTATTTATTGTAGAACAAACAATTTACAACTAATGTTGTTTGTCTAGTGTTTGTGTTTATCTATTTATTGTAGACAAACAACATGTTGGAGGATGGATGGAATCGTCTAGTGTTTGTGTTTATCTATTTATTGTAGACAAACAACATGTTGGAGGATGGATGGAATCGAGCATTTGCGATCATATCCAATGGAGGTTGGCGGAATAGTGGTTGAAGCTTATGCAATTCAGGTTCAAAATCCAAGTTCAAGCTTCATCCGTAAGTTTACCAAGAAGAGCTTATTGAAGATCAAGATCATTGCTTGGGTAAATAGTTTATGTTTTATATTATGTGTGTTGATACTTTAAGCTCAATTATATACACACATACATGTTTTGGTTTTATAGCTTTCAACTTTATATAAATATGAAACATATATACTTGTTTATACACATTTCATATTTATCGATTTTGTTTAGCCATATATATATATATATATATGAAACAAATGGATATAACTATATGTATACACGTATTTGTTTCATATCTATACATGCAAATAAACATGATTTCATTTATGGATTAAAGACGTTTATTTGAAAAATTATGTGTTTATGGATTAAAGACTTGTTTACAATGTTTTATATCTTTTCCTAAGTCTATTAATCCATTCAAAAGGATTTGCAAACTTGTTTGAAATTGTTTTTGTCAAAATCAAGTATTGATGATTTTGTATTCTTAAATAGTTTACAAAATAATTTATATTTAACAAATGGAAAAGTAATTTTAAAAATTCTTTTTGTAACATGTTCTATTACATGTTTATAATCATTTCCCAAAATTTTATCATTTTTGGAGTTGATTTACTATACTGAATTGATTTTACAAAATCAAGTGTTTCAGCAGTTTTTAGAATCTGGAATAACTGTTTTAAAACATTTATTTCTCACAAATGGGAAGTGATATTTCAGAAATTATTTCTCTAACATGTTTATATACATGTCTATAAGCATTCCACAAAATTTCATGATTTTTGGAATTGATTTACTATTTTTAATTGATTTTACAAAGTCAGATACGTAAATTTCCAGAATGCTGGATTTTGGGGTATTTTGGTCTTTTCAGCCTATAACGGCTAGTAACGGCTAGTTTTTGATATTTTCGGTTTTTGGGGGTTTGTGGCTTGTTTAAGAGGCTATAAAAAGCCCTCAACTTTTATTGTTTATTATGGATGTTTAAGAGAGTTTTAAAACAAGATTATAAGTTTGTGACAGTTTGTTTCAAGTTTTGAAGATTGTTTTAGTTTATGCAAAAAAGAGGTTTACAAGAGGAGGAGATTATTTGTTTGGTGTTTGGGCTTCAATCTCATTCTCTCTCGCTCTTAATTCTTAGAAAAGTTTTTCTAAACTTATCTTCTAGCTTATTTATATTTTGATTCATACATATTTGTGCTAGATTGATTTAAGTTTAGTTGTTATCTCTCATTGATTACACACACCCACTTGAGCCTAAGTATTTTCATACATAGTATATTTAGGGTTGTGAGATTGTATTCTTTGAGAGTGAGCTTACATAGAGTTCTTATCCATTGTAGAGAACAAATCTTGTTGTTGAGCCTAATTGTGAGATACATTTTGTAATACACTTGTACACCGAGAGGAGTGTGTGGTGAGAGACGGGGTAGTCCCAAGAGGAGTGGGGTAGGTGGTAATGCCTAGAGGTAGGTTGTAATTCCTAACACTTGAGGGAGACACGGGCTAGAGACCAACACTTGAGAGGGTGTAAAATGTGATTATAAGAGTGTTGATTGTAAAGTTTCCGGTGAACTAGAAAACCGAGTGTGAGGTGTAAACGTTATTCGGGTGAGCGTAGAAAACTCGATTGTGATAGTGGAGATCTCCTCGAGGTGAGGAGCGGGGACGTAGGTCGTGGGGACCAAACCTCGTGAACATATCGTTTGTTTGTGATTGCATTGGCACACTTATTTTTTGTGTTTATCATTATATCGCCTTTGTCAATTGCTCATTGTTTATATTGCCCATTATCTTATTTATCTTGTTTATGATTATTTCACCATTGTGTTAGTTTATATATCCTTGCATATTCACCATATACCTCTTTGCTAGGATATATATCTCTTCGTTCATATCACTTATCCTTGCGTATATCTTGTTATATATCATACTTGCATATTCACCATATATCTTGTTGTATATCAAGGAGGCAGAGTCTAGCTCTGATTCGATCAGATGGAGGGAAGCTATGGAGGAGGAGATACGCTCTCTTCAAAAGAATGACACTTGGAAACTTGCAAAGCTACCGAAAGGTAAGAAGGCTATTGGATGCAAGTGGATGTATGTAAAGAAAGAGGGATCTTCTATTGGGGACATTCGGTACAAAGCCAGATTGGTTGCCAAGGGTTATGCACGGCTTGAGGGCGTTGATTACAACGAGGTATTCTCACCTGTTGTAAAGCATTCGTCTATTAGGATTCTGTTGGCATTTGTGGCACAGCTGGATTTGAATTTGGTCCAGATGGATGTGAAGACGGTCTTTCTACACGGAGATTTAGATGAGGAGATCTACATGACATAACCTATGGGGTTTAAAACTGCAGGAAATGAGGATTTAGTTTGCAAGCTAGAGAAGTCTCTTTACGGATTGAAGCAATTATCGCGACAATGGTACAAGAGATTCGATGGCTTTATGATTGGCCGAGGATACACGAGGAGCCTATATTCGTGAAGTCTTGGATGAAGTCTTGGATGAAGGAGATGTCATGTTGGAGAAGATCCACACAAAGGACAACCCTGCGAATATATTGACCAAAGTTGTTTCAGGAGTAAAATTTGGTCATTGTATGAAGCTATTGAACATTCTTCAGTGTTGAGGCCTTTGGAGGCCATTTGGATAAACTACATGAGGTTTGATTCATTGGACAAGCGGATACGTAGGCAGTCTATTCGATGCAGCCGGTTGGATTAGTTGATTTTGATGGGGGTGAGATTGTTTGAGCTCTCGTTCGAGTTCCCGACTTGTTGTGGATTGGGTTCGTTATCGTGAATTAACTTCACAACGTACTGGACACAACAAGTGGGACATTTGGATGCTTTAGTGTCGGCTCAGTTTTGGAAGAAACTTCACCGAGGTGGAGAATTGTGAGTGGGGGCCACAGCGTGTGTTCTTTTATTTTCAGCGTGAGGTGTTCCCAAGAACACTGTTTGGTGGAAAGTTTGTAGTAAAAAGAATGAAAGAAAATTGACTTGTATTCTCTCGATCTTAATTACAATTTGGATTCTGATTACAAAAGAGAGGAGAATAATCTGGATTCTCCCCTTTGTTTAATTCTGGGTTCTTCACAATGACGATGGAGTGCTTCATTCGAATGCTCGCGTCGAATTTGCTCTCCGTTGACGATTCGACCGTCTTATCTCACGGGAATAATTAACTTGTGTGGCAAGTTTGATGGAGAACTCTTAACGAGTTTAAGAACTCATAGTGAGTTGAAACTCTGTGAAAAGAGTTGTTTGAACCGAAAATTCGGTTAATAGCCAAGTGGATTTGTTTGTTTCTGAAAGATGTTCCAAGATCAGATCTTCCTGTTGCCGACAATCCAAGAAGAATCAGCCGACGCTCTCTCTGTGAGAAATCCGA